ATCTGTCTGCTACTGAACTTCTGTCTGCTGCTGAACATCTGTCTGCTACTGAACATCTGTCTGCTGCTGAACATCTGTCTGCTGCTGAACATCTGTCTGCTGCTGAACGTCTCGCTGCTGAACATCTGTCTGCTGCTGAACGTCTCGCTGCTGCTGAACATCTGCCTGCTGCTGAACGTCTCGCTGCTGCTGAACATCTGTCAGCTGCTGAACATCTGTCTGCTACTGAACATCTGTCTGCTACTGAACATCTGTCTGCTACTGAACTTCTGTCTGCTGCTGAACATCTGTCTGCTGCTGAACGTCTCGCTGCTGCTGAACATCTGTCTGCTGCTGAACATCTGTCTGCTGCTGAACGTTTCGCTGCGACCAGAAGAGTCGGCTCCACCTTTTCTTACAAACTGATTCTGTCTGCAACGTTCACTTTAACAACAGAAACTGTTCTGAGCCAGATCCGGACCTGCTGTGGTGAGGAGACGAAGCTTCTTCAGTACCTTCAGAGGCCGGCAGTCTTCCCTGATGAGAAGATCCGAGGAGTCCAGCTCAGCCCGGTTCAGACGCTGCTTGTTCACCAGCTGTTGGTTCCTGAACTCAAACAGAACACAACCATCACTCTCTCCCCCTCTCCAACACAGCACACACATCAAAGACAATGGTTGGACGTCACCGTAGTGGACCGGCTCACCTGCTCTGTTTTAGCAGACTGGGGGGAATCGGACCCAGAACCTTCTCCATCATGGCCAGATGTTCCCTGCTGTCGTGACTCTGAAAGATCAAAGCATGCTGATGACAGCTCCTTGTGTTGTTTTGTTTGCTTGTTTGTTTGTTTATTTACTAGAAACAGAGGCCGTCCCAGGTAGAACTCCATCAGAACGCAGCCCAGACTCCAGACATCACAGGACTGGTCCCAGCCCAGACCTGAACCAGCAGATAGACGAAAAACCTGTTGAACCTCAGCTGAAATGATAAAAAAATGTGTGTGTGTGTGTGTGTGTGTGTGTGTGTGTGTGTGTGTGTGTGT